GGACCTTGGAGAGATGAGGCATCTGAAAGGCTTGGGCCTCTTCTGCTTCTCACGTCCTGCCTAGCCACAGGCATGTCAGCTGTGCACAGCCATTGGCCCGTCCTGCATTGTCCCACAGGCTGTGGTAGAACCACAGAGCAGGTTCTGGCTCAGCCAAGGCTCTCCAGCAATGCCACAAAGCCCTGTGAAAGCCTGGGTACTGGTCAGCTTCATCCTTTACAGCAAACAGCATAGGCAGCAGTTCTAGGATAGCAGTCCAGCGGGGGCCGGTGTCCAACCCAACCTCCCTCCAAGGCCCGAGCAGCCTGGTGGCCAGAGGAGGAAACCCAAGCCTCAGCCCCCTCCCTCTGGCGGCGTCTGAAGGTCTCAGTGTGGCCAGCCTCCCCCACAGGCCCTGTGCCCCTCTGATCCTGCGGGGGAGTGATGGATGGCCACGCAGGCTCAAGTCCCTGCCGGCAGTGACAGAGTCTCTCTGTCTCGCTGGCTGCATCCCGATGGGCCTTTGACATAGCCCAGCTGGTCCCAGAGAGTCATACCAAACTGCTGGAAGTGTCTACAAGAGCTGAGCCTGAAGGTACGCCTGGCCTGGGAGAGGCGGGAGGGACGGCCTGGGAAGGGGACTCCCACAGCCTTCTGGGCCAGGGGCGAGGTTCTGACGAGGTCAGGAGGCAGCTCAGGCTGGAAGGGGTGGAGTGGCTGCTTGTAGAGACACTTCTCTGCAGAAGGGGGTTTGCAGGGCCTCGAGCACCAGCTTCCTGCTCCCACCTGCCCCGCGGCTCCACACACCCAGCCTCCGCAGGGCCTCAAGGCTGTGGGCGCCCAGGATCCGAGGGGCCAGGCTGGAGTGTGACAGGCAGGCTGTTGCAAAACTGATGTTATCGCTCTTAAGAAACCTGTGAGTCACTGCCCCAGAGCAGAGGCTGTGCCCCAAATCCTCCCTAACAAAGACCCTTTGTCCCCAAGCCCCGCCACGTGGGCCCACTCCAGGAACTGCCAAGCCCTTCTGTCTAGGCCCAGCAACCACCAGACACAAAGTCAGATCTGTTTGGTGTCAGTGGTGGGCAGGGGCGGGGGGGGGGGCAGGGGTGTGCTTCCCAGCCCACCTGGACCCAGTAGTGACTCAGAAGGAACCCTGAGGTCACAGTGGCCTGAAATGGGAACCCTATGGCAGACTAGCCAAACCCAGTCTGTGACAAATAGTTCAGGACAGCACCCCGGGCTCAGTCTACTAGCTACCGTCCACCAGGGCCTCCTCAGCTTGCCTAAGGCCAGTGCCCTACAGGAAAAACTCCACAGACGCGAGACCCTCTGCTGCATCCAAGGACCTTCTCCTCAGAACAGGGGACAGGATGCTCATCCCACGGGGTGAGCATCGGCAGAATGCCATCCGATTCCCTGACAGGAAGGTCTATGAACAGGACCACCTCTGAGCTCAGTGACTGGCTGGCCAGTCACCAGGACACATCTTTGAGATTATTTCCTATGGGTCTGGTGGTCCTGGCTCATTGAAGCCATTGTGGCCACAGAAAGGAGACCCCTGAAAACATAAAGACCCAGCCACATGGACTTACAGACATGTGGGGCACCTGTGTGGGGACACACTAAGACAAACCCACAAACTCCTCACGTCACCCACACAGACTCCCAGAGATAGACTCAGACATATGCAGGTCACCCTTGACCTCTGTTCAAGTACTGTGAGTTATGGTATGTAGTCTAGCTCTAGGGCCCATGGGTGATATAATGAGCTTACTACCCAGCCTAGTGGCTCACACCTGTAATCCTAGCTACACCAGAAGCTGAGATCTGGGGATTGTGGTTTGAAGCCAGCCTCGGTAGGGAAGTTCATGAGCCTCTTACCTCCAATAAACTGCCAAAAAATCTGCAAGTGGAGCTGTAACTCAAGTAGTAGAGTGCTAGCCTTGAGCAAAAGAGGCTCAGGGACAGTGCCCAGGACTGGGGAAAAAGAATGCCCAGCAGGAGCAAGCACTCCACAAGGCCAGGGCCCTTGGCGTAGACCCTTCAAAGGGCCAACCTACATGGCTACAATCTGGAGCCGACTCTAGGCCTCTAGCCAGCCAGCAGACCTCGTCTGCATACCTGAACCCGAGGAGACAAGGGAACAGCCAGGGCTGGAGATGAGCGTGGGTGACGCCATCTACGCCTGAGAGACGTGTCTCAGGCCAGAGCCCGCCTCAGCAACCCCTCCCCCAACTACTCCCTAAGCCCCTGTCCAGGCTCTTGCTGTACACAGAGGACAGGCTCTGCCCAGACACTGATTCATAACCCCCAGCACCAGAGCAGGCCTCAGGGCCAGAGGGGCTGGTCAAGTCTGCTCGGAGAGCGGTGCAGAACAAAGCTTAGGAAGTGTTTGCTCCACTGCGGGGCGAGGCTGAAGGCCGGAGGGAAAAGGTCCTGGTGCTGGACACGCCTCCCAGGGACAACCAGAACCTACACCTACGTGGCTCCAGGGTCAGGCCAAGGTTCTAGGAAGTTAGCCTAGAGGAGGGGTCAGTAAGGCCACCAGCAGCTCCTGCCGCCTGCTCGAGCACTGGCCCTGCCCAAGGCTGAGAAGCAGCCATTTGGGCCACTCCACAACACAGCGCCAAAATGGGACACGGCCCTGGGGGACCCTCGGGCCAGGTGAAGCTGAGAAAGCATACAGACCAGCTGGCTTGTTTTCTGGGCTGGGCGCAGGGGTCAGTCTGGGCTGTAGCTGGACCCTCTGCCAGCGCCCCTCACCCCAGCCACTGGGGCTCAGCTAGACAGCACATTCCAGAGGGATTCAGCCAGGTGGCTAATGACCTCCAATTAGGGGCAGGAGCTGGGAGAAAGAGGAGACAATGGACGCAGGTAGACTTGACTTGGCGCCCACCCTGGCCTGGCCACTTGCCCAGGATTGCTCCGCAGGGCTGGCCCCCAAACGCTACGCGTCCTCATCTCTCACCAGCTCATCGCCGTCTGTCTGTGGGGCCCTGGTCCCATTCTCTGGTCTCCGTCTGGATCATCACGGCCCCTGCGGCAGACAGCAGGCTGGCGGCTGGAGAGGTGAGCCCACTTCCCGGGCTGGCAGCTACAGGGCACTGTCAGCACGCCTCTGCCCGTCAGGCCCGGCTTGCACAGCATGGTGGACGCTCGGAACAGGGCAGAGGGGAAAGACAGGAGCAAATGACTGCAGGCGAGGCACGGGCAGTTGCTCAGTCTCAGAAGCAGCCTCTGAAAACCGATGTAAGCAGGGGGTCTCTGGCTCTGCAGGTGGGGTGTTCAAGTCACGCTGGCCCCTGGCCACGCCGCCCAGGCCCTGCTCTGCCTGCTCACAGGATCGTGACCCTCAGGCCTCTGCCTGTGCGCCCTGGGCAGTTCCTCAGTGTGTGCCCACTGGTGTGAGAACCGGTGGGCACCCTGGCTTTTGGTGCTGTGGCTGTGGGAGGGAGATGCCATGGCCCCAGACCTCAGCCCAAGGAGGTGGGCGGGGAGGGGACGCCCCACACCCGGCCTTCTGCATCTAGCTTGGGCTCCCATGACCTGTCAGGCCCAAGCCTGAAGACACCCATGTGACTTTCCCCTCTCAACCTCCCTGCCCAAGATTCCAGGGCTGCCCCACACTGGCCATTGCGGGCAGTTAGAAGCTCCCATCAGACCAGGCCGGCACAGGAGCTGCAGCGAAGCAGACGCCCCGACAGCCCCTCAAGATCCTGAAGGGATCAGAGGCAGAGGTGGGGACAGGTCAGTGCAGAGACCAGGCCTGGCTAGGTTTGCTGGCTCTCTGCTCCGCAGGGCCTGGGGGAGGAGCCTCCTGGGAGGCCCCAGGCAGGTCACGGCCCTCCCTCCCTCGTGGGGGATGTGACAAACCTGAGCCTTGGCTGCTTCTACTCCGTGCTGCCCCACCCTACACCCTGACCACCAGGCCCCAGGACGGGAGGCCAGTGTGGGCCTTGGAGCAGGATCTCCAGGGCCAGCTGTGTCCCACCAGTGGCTGCAGGACACAGAGGCTAGAAGCCCACTGGATAAACTGAGGGCCAAGGAGGCGACCAGAAATGGTGCACAGCACAGCAACTTGGTTTAAGCTAGGGCATTCTGAGGCTTTTCGTTGTTGTTGTTGTCGGTCCTGGGGCTTGGGCGCCCAGCTTCCTTCTCCGCTCTTAAGTTGATAGATTCAAAATGGAGCAGGGAGGATGGGATAGGAGCCAGGCGGCTGAGAGCTGAGGATCGCGGTTCAAAGCCAGCCCAGGCAGGAAAGTCCGTGAGACTCTTAACTCTAAGAAACCACCAGAAAACTGGAAGTGATGTTGTGGCTCAAGTGGTAGAGTGCTTGCCTTGAGCAAAAGAGATCAGGGACAGCGCCCAGGCCCTGAGTTCAAGTCCTATGACTGACAAAAAATAAAAGGGCACAGGAGGCAAATGCAGGGCCTTGGCCACTGGCTTCTGTCCCAAGGGCTGCGAGGCTTACCCCTCACCCGCCACGGTCTTTGGAGTATGGTGACCATCCCCGGGGAAGGTGGCAAGAGGGGACACCTACTTCAGCCTGGGCAGCATTCCCCAGCCCGCAGTGTCAGCACAGCTTGGCACGTGGTCTGCGGCCTGCGACGGGAGCACACGGTCCTGTACCTGGCCTGCACATACCTGAACTCCCTCCCTTCCCACAGGCCATAGGTCCCCAAGCCCCCAAGTGGCCCTCCACGTCGGTGCCATCCTCCGAACAAGCTGAGGCCCAACATCCATAGCTGCTGCTGCCAGGCCCGAGGAGAGGTCCCGGGTCACGGACAGAGCTAAGCAGAAATCTACACGGACGCTGGTGCTCCTCCGTAAGCTCAGAACGGCCCCGGCTGGGAGGCCCGGCTGGCGTGGGTCTGGAGGCCATGAGGGCTTCGCTTGCAGTCCACTACGGCCACACTTTGTGTTCTGTGCTGTACACGCCTGCCCGCCCCGGACCACCTGGCACACATCACCAACGCAATGACCAGCAGCAGCAGCCAGTGGGAAGGGTTGGGGCTCTTTATTGCAGTAATGACAGCTATCACCCAGGGGTCCCAGTCACCTCCTCTCTGGGGCAACGTGGCGTCTCCTCGCTCATGCGCCCAGGAGCAGCCCCGAGAAGCTGGAGCCACTCTGGATGGTGAGGACGGCCCCGGAGCCGTTGTCCACAAACACAGAGGTGTACTGTCCAGCCTGGAAGCAGCACAGCGGGCTTACCACAGCAGTGGCCCTGCCCCCATGAGGGAGCACACGGAGCCCAGCTGCCACCCACAGAGCGGCTAAGGACGGTCCCCGCAGGAAGTGCCCGCCAGGGCCACGGGACCCCGCAGGAAGTGCCCATAAAGCCACAAGGGCCCCAGGTCCAGTCTCCGGGGAGATGCCACCATCCCTCCCACCTCCCACTCCGGGCTGGGAAGCCCTCCAGACCCCGCTCTACCCCGGGGCCCCGTCCCTCACCTGCAGCTGTAGTAGCCCCTGAACCTGTGCAGTGAAGACCCTGCTGTTACTCTCCAGGCCCGAGACAGCCTCCAGGGACCTGGGCGTGGTACAAAGGGGCAAGGGTGAGGGACCCCGACACCCCAAAATGATGAAGCCCAGGGGCTCTGGCCTGTGGCGGCGGCCAGGCCTACTCACGCGTGGCGGTGGCACAAGGACTGGATACAGATGAGGACACGCACAGCGTCCCGGGCCCGCAGCCGGCCCCTGCCCCGAAGTTCACTGTGATCTGTGCAGACAGCAACAGAAAGGAGGCTTCCGGATGCTGTCCCAGGACAGGCCTAGAATTACAGCAGGGACACCCGGCCCCCCATCCCACCCAGAGCCCGTAAGACCAGACACCCACCCCCGATGGCTAACCTACCCCTCACCCTCAGGACAGGCCTAGAATTGGCTCCCTGGGCCCCCATCCCACCCAGAGCCCGTAGGACCAGACACCCACCCCCGATGGCTAACCTACCCCTCACCCTCAGGACACAACACAGGCAGCCCGGCTCACCCACTTGCAGGCTGGCAGAAAACTGGAAGATGGCAGAGACCGGGGCTGTGAATCTGCCGGAGGCCAGGCTCAGGCCAGACCCTCGCAGGAAGGCCCCCTGGGCGGCGGGCTGAGGGGCGGCAGAGGGAGGCTGGCTGTAGCGTCTGCGCCCTCCCCTCGGGCGCCTCGCTCTCTCGTCCCCAGCGGAGCCTGCTGGGCCGGCTCTCATGTAGATGGGACGCTCCAGTCTGTCCCCGTCTTGGTAAAGATGGAGTCTGGGCATCTGGGGCTCTCCACCTGTCTCCTGGGAAGTTTCCCCGGACCCCCGGGCATGGACAGGCCCAGCAGCCGTCCACGTGGTGGATGTCCAGAGGTGCGTACAGGCCTACCTTGCCGGCGGGGGCCCATCCTGTATCCCGCCCCCAGACAGAACCTTGGGTGTGTGGGTGCTTGAGACACCCAAATCACCCTGACCCTTCCCCACTCACAGCCTCGAACCCCTTCAGCTCCACCAGCGTCTTCTTGTCCACCAGCGTGGGACCCTTCAGCCAGCAATGGAAGGCCTCAGCCACTAGCCGCGGGCTGGGCCCCTGGCGCAGCACGGTGTCCGTCAGCCCTGAGAACCGATGTTCTGCGGCCTCTGTTGGGAGGAGGGAGATCTGGGGTCACTCTGTCCTCAGCCATGGCGGGTACGTCTGGGCTGGAGGGCAGCCTCACCTTTCAGCATTTCCTGGAATTCCTGTAGTAAGGCCTCCGGGGTGACTTCAGCGCCGGGGGGACCAGGGGGACCGGGCGGCCCCGGGGGCCCCGGGGGCCCTGAGAGGCCTCGCTGGGGAAACGGAAGGAGAAGGGTCCTGAGGGGAGCCACACGCACCTCCTGCCCTGGACTAGGCCCTGAGAGCGCCCGGGAGGGCTCACCCCGTGAAAGCCCAGGAGCTCACCAGCCTCTTGTCCCGGCCTCCACACCGTTTTCTAGAGGCCCCATCGTCTGGCCTCCGGACAAATTTTAGCCATGTCATGTGGGCATCTGAGAGCTCAGGTCCTGAGGTCTCTGGTGGCTGAAGAGACGGGACAGGGCTGGTGAACTGACCACCAGGCCCTAGTGGCCCCGCCTTTCAGTGCCTCAGGTCAGCGAGGGGCTCAGAAAGGTCAAGGACCCTCACCCCTGGCAAAGCCCGAACCTCACGCCCTTGGGCTCCTGTGGGAGAGGCTGTGACTCCCGTGGCCCTGTTCCCGCACCGAGGGCAAGCCCAGAGGCACCCGGGGCCAGAAGGCTTCCTGAAAGCCTGCGTACAGACTGAACGAGGTGAGGGGCTGCAGAGGGAGGGATGTGGGCGAGGGTGAGCATGCCCTGTTAGGGCCTAGCCCCCGGAGACGGGGGCTGAGCTGACAGGAGGCACACAGAACATGCCGACAGGAACGGAGCCTGGCCGCTCCAGGGCGCCTCCTCAGCCAGCGGGAGCCAGGGCCTACCTCACGTGGACCCTAGCCTCAGACAGAGCCAAGGCGGGCAGCAGGGCAGGCCACCTCCTGGCTTGGAGTGTAGGTGCCCGTCCAAGGGACAAGGGTCCACCCTGGAAGCGGGGAGGAGCAGCAGGAGCACTTGGACACACTCCACCCCTCGGCAGCCCGTGTCTGCCCGGGGACCCTGGCACTGAGCACAACAGCCACATCTGGGTTGAGGGGGCAGGTGGCAAGCGAGCGTCCAGCAGGAAGGCACAAGTGGTTCTCACAGCCTGGACGCCGACAGAACCCCTGCTGGCCGGCCTGTCCTCAGCCCTAGTCTTCTCTAGAGGAGCAACTATGAACAGGACAGGTTAAACCCCACGAGCAGAGAAGCTGCGGCCCCCCTGGGAGCCCTCCCCTCCCCCCAGGCCTGAGCAAAGGGGCTGACGGGAGGCAGACCCCCAGGTAGGGCCGGCGGCCAGGGTCCCTGGCGGGGCAGAGGGGGCAGGGCGGGGCCCCGGAGCACGCGTGCACCTACCTGGGGGGCGCCCCGCCGCCCCTGGCTGTGGAGGGCAGTGGCGTTGGAGGGCTGCCGCGGCCTCTTGTTCTCGCGCCGCGCTCCCACGTCCGGGAGGAGCAGGAGCTGAGACCAGAGGAGAGCCAGGGCTGCGGCCCCGGCCCCGCACCGCATGGCTCTGCGCCTGCCAGGCTCGGGGCTGCGGGGGTGAGGCCTGAGGGCACGCCCATCTGTGGCTGGCGGGCCAACAAGCGCAGCCGGTGGGCCAGGCCGGCACAAGCCTGCACCACAGCCCTGCGCCGGCGGCCCGGTCTGGGAGGCTGGCGCCAGCCTCCCCTGTGCCGGGCCCTCGCAGCACTCAACCACCCGGCGCTCTCCCTCCTCCTGGCCTCTCTGGCTCCCTTGGAGGCTGGCGGGGGGGGGGGGGGGGGGGGGCGGGACGGGGCGGACCCCCCATGACCACTGTCCCTGCCCTCAGCCCCCTCCTTAAAAAGGCCCCCCTCTCAACTAAGCCGGACAGCGCCTTCACTCCGGCCCTTGCGCAGCGCCTTCACTCCGGCCCTTGCGCAGCTCCATCCCTAGCAGAGGGCCTTGGGAAGCACCCCCCCATCCCCCCCTGCACCCAGCCAAGGCCTCCCACCAAACTGAGGCCTTCAAGAAGAGGCAGAAGCACCTGGGAGCAGAGGCAGGGCTCCACCCCGCTCCAGCCTGTCCTGGCCCTTGCTCTCGGCCCTCTTGGGCCAGCAGAGCCCCCAGCCCCAGGCTTTTCCTTCAAGGAAATTAGTACAAGAGCCAAGCCGTCTTCAGACCGGTGGCCCGTGGACTTTCAGGGTTTGTGGAAGGTCCGCAGGAGAAAGGAGTCTTGCTAACCATTTCTAGACTGCACAAAGCAAGTCAGCTGGGAACAAGCCAGGCCAGAAGCCCCCTTTGGACTGGATTTAGGAATAGGGGACTTCATGGCCTGCGTCAGGATGCCAGTAGTCAACCGTTCCCCAAGAATGTCCTGTAGCTGCGCTTGGCCCGCAGCTGCGTCCTCCAGCGGGAAGGCTAGCACACTGGCCCTGGGTCTTGGTCCTGCTGGACAGAACACTCGGACTGTCTGACTCCCAGACCTAGAGAAAGGTAATAGTGCCAAAGCAGGACCCCTGCCCAGACCACATCCAGGGCTGTGCAAGAGACAAGTGCAGTCACCTTAGGGGAAGTAGAGGCTGAACCTCCCAGGGGCCTGGCGCACTACGCACTACGCACTACGCACTTGGAGGGGGGCAGGGCCGCCCTGCTACCCTTGGTCGAGGCAGGGAAAAGGCTCAACACCCTCAATGGGACTCCCTGCTTTTGTGGCCTGAAAGTAGAGTGCAGCGGTGGTTGGTGCAGGCAGCCTCGGGAGCAGACGGGCCCGCCCGAGCCCGGCCCACCGCAGCCCCTTCCAGCAAACTACCTGGAGCTGGAGCATGACGGCTTCCTGTCCCTCAGCTCCAGGGACCAGCACGGGAGGAGGGCTGACCTGCCCTTGACTCCTCTGGGCCCTGCTAGCTGCCCACTACCTGCTCCCCAGAGAGCCAGACCCTCAAGCCCAGCTGTCACAAAATCCCAAGGGCTTCTTGGAAGAATGTTCTCAAGCAAGCAGTTAGAGGCTGCTGAAGCAAAGGCCTCCTGCAAAGCATGCTCTCCCCGTACACGGACTGAAAGCTTCAAGGAGGGGAGGTGTTAAGAGCACCCCATCAGGACTCCTGACATGCCATCCACCAGGACAAAAGCCACCTTGCACCAGCCATTAGTGCAGGCCACCAGCGTCCACCCCATGGATGACCAAGGCTCCCAGGCAAGGCCAGCTGGGTTCCAGGTGCGGGAGGCAGGGGAGGGGGAGCCTGCTAACTCTGCCTCCCAGAGCCTCAGGTCTCAGGAAACATGTACAGCAGGTTAGAGAAGGGTGGCACATGCCTACAAGGGCTCCAAACACTTCCCTCCCCACAGCACACAGATACCTCTTAGCAACCCTCTGCAACACACAAATGCCTCAACACCCCACAACACACAAATACCTCAACATCCCACAGCACAAATACCTCAACACCCCACAGCACACAAATACCTCAACACCCCACAGCAC